TTTGTCTTTCAGAATTTCAATATACGCTTTTTTACATTACAATACACAATATACATTTTTCCGTTAATTATTTCCAAGTTACCATCGCCGGCGGAAGCTGATACCATTACGCCACCGCCATACATTCCCACGGCATCCGGTTCTACGTACCGGAATGACTGGGTTTTACCCGACCAAGGGCTATTGTTTCGGTGACCGAACCCCGAATCAATCGGCGAACCCCATCAATAGTTTTTCGTCCTTGGAACAATACTTTGCAGCCGTATTGCGCCACATCCTTCTCCGAGATAGCATTGAGTCCAATTCCGGCCCAGAAATCTGCTATTGCGTTTGCCAGAGACGGCTCTATCCGAACTCCACTTCGGTTAGATGCAACTCCTGCAGCGGATGGTTTCACCCTGTTGCTATTGTAACTGCATACAGATTTCGCAAAGGACTTTTGGGGAGCCTGCCCGGCTTTAAGAAGCTCCTGCGAAAAAAATTTATATTATAAATTGATTTAATATTCGTATGTACTGAAAGTGAACACGAAATTTATTGAAACCAGTAAGAGCGGCGCTGTTGTTGTTGTTGTTGTAGCGGCTACAACAACCCCGCCCAGATCGGTTGGTATCTCAGTCGTTGTCGTCAAGTTCCACTAACGGCAACCCTAGGAAGCGTGCAGCTTCTGTGGGGTTTGCCCATAGGGACAAGGCCGTTAGGGTTGTCGGGTTTTCCGGGCATGCGAAGAGATGTTTCGAGTCATGTGGGGTCTCTCCGCATGCCGGACATTCGTTCGGCACATCCTCATTCAACCTACTCAAGTAGGAGTTTAACCTGCTGCAGTAGCCGGAGCGAAGTTGTGCGAGTGTAGTGCGTGTCTCCCGAGGCAGATGAAGCTCACGCAAATGTTGTTTTTGCTCTACTTATACTACCTGTTTAATGTGCCTTGGGCCATAGCATGCGTATTAGGATGGTCCAAAAATGCATGTGATTGTTCTATACCGAAAAAAATATACCCCTATTTTTTATTTTGAAATCAAAAAATAATTAGAGCTCGCGCACAAAGTTTGCCATGTATTTTATATGGGGAAAAACACGATTCAATTCAATTGGATCATGGGGAAAAAACGTTTCGTAGAAATGATATCAAATTCTTGAAAATCAATAGTTTTGAACGGAAAACTGTTTCTCTTCAGGAGATTCCCGATAATAATACCCAATTATTTTTTTAACCATAGCCGAAGACAGCGCCACCCAAGCAGACAGCTCCTTGCAGAGGAGCCCTCGCCTAGGCACGTCAGGAGGCATCTATATGAACTAACGGACGAAGTCCAGAGGTTCATTAAGCAACCTCTGGACCCGACAGCTTACAGACAGGCCCTGAACGGCATTCACAGGGACTCAGTCTCGAGTTATGTAGACTCTAGACCTGTGAATGCCGTTCTAGGCACACCACCCCCGGACATAGACGAGACG